GTGCTGTGCTGTGCTGTCTGATAGTCAGGTATTGTGCTGTGCTGTGCTGTCTGATAGTCAGGTATTGTGCTGTGCTGTGCTGTCTGATAGTCAGGTATTGTGCTGTGCTGTGCTGTCTGATAGTCAGGTACTGTGCTGTGCTGTGCTGTCTGATAGTCAGGTACTGTGCTGTGCTGTGCGGTGCTATCCGATAGTCAGGTACTTTGCGAGAAATGATGAATTATTATATACAGTGCTATGCTTGGCAATATTTATTTGCCTCTTGAAGGTTATTGAGGAATTGGTGTGTGTAATGTTGATTATTATACCCGGGTCTGGAAAGAAGCATTTTCTGCACGAATGCGGGCACTACCAAAATTGCAAGGAAATATTCTATTTATATTTTTTAAGTGTTTTCCTGTCAGAATTTGATACGTAAAACATTTGCCAAGCTGTCAATGTATTAGCCGAGGGGTGCCATATCAATTAAAGAATTTCCACGCAGCAAGCGTTTGCCGCTCCAATTCCAGTCCAGATTTGCTATATAAGCCGTCCGTGCTAAAATTAAGGCATTAACAGAAATTTTATCATATTGTTTGAATCTAATTCTGAAATTATTAACTTTCTGTTCTTGAATTACATTTCTAAACACCGCAGGGCAAGCCGGTTTATGACTCAGGCGCGACAGGGGCGCTGTGCGTGAGCTCTATATGGCCGGGCATCGCGCGCACCATCCACGGCGACCACCAGCGCTACCACGACACTTACTTCGCCCCCTACGCCGGCCTCTACTTCTCCGGCGACGGCGCCCGCAGGTGTTGTGAGGCCCTTTTTAGCGCATTTTCTCATTTATGGAAAAAATGCACTATTGTGCTCGCCATGTCCGTCTGTCTGCCTGTCCGTCCGTCCGTCCGTCCATGACCTCAAGTTTTCGTCGACGAGAAAATGCTCTCTCTGTCACTCACTGCAGTGAGTACTGAGTTATATTTTTTCATATGTCACATCAACAGGCGCTTAGGAAATAACTATATAGCGATCATCAACTGATTCCTGTTTTAAAACATCGTTTACGACCAAGCTGTGGTCCCTCTGGTTTGCATCATATGTTTAAAATTTGCAGTTGGCTCGCAAGCTTCTGCATTTTGAAACAACGTACCAAATATTGTATTGTTCGTCTTGAAAATTGTAGCTAATCAAAAATTCTTACTGAATTCTATCAACTTTGGAGTAACGAGCCTAGCGTGTTTGCCCCAATTTACATGTATTGTTAAATTACAATTTTATTGGATTTACTTTGAAAGATAGCCTTCTAGAAATAATTTGGCGTTATGACTTCATTCTCAGTCTGTTTAATGTTTGTCTGTCACCTCATTCTGCACCAGCAACTTTTACCAGAGCTCTCAACACAAGAGAACTAAACCCTTTCTTGCTGTTACTTAATATATTTCAATAGGCTATATAAGCTATAATTTTTGAAATAGTGATGAGATGTATTTAATATATTCATATTTGAATGGCTTTTGTTTGTTATCTTGAGTGACATTTTATTCTTTTGTTTCTTGAGCCTTTATTATACCGGCCGCACCGCCGACCTGTCGCCGGAGTTGACCCCAAGCACAACCATGGAGTTAAATGCTAACTATTGCAGGGACGACGAGGGCTACTTACACATTACCGGCCGCATGGACGACGTCATAAACGTCTCCGGACACAGACTCGGCACTGCAGAAGTTGAGGATGTCATGGTGAGTGCGTTTCTTGACGTTATATGCAACAACGGAACTCATTTGCTGTATAATTCACGACCCCTTTCCCTAACAAAATTCGGGGACATCTTTGGTTTCGGCCCTTAACAAAATTCGGGGTATGTTTCAGCCTCCGCCCCAGAGTTGCTATGTTCGCGTCAGAGATATTCTGGGCCTGGTTGGCCACCTGATCGTAATCAGCGACTAGTCAGAACCTCCTTGCCGACTTTATAGTCTCATTTGAGAGTAGGGCAAGAGTTGGCAAAATATAAGTACCAGGCGCTTGTAGCTGTCTGATTCGGGGACCGGAATGTAGACCAAAAAGCGGACATAGAGAAGCTGATTTACGTTCGGTCCGAGTCCTAGGCGGTTCCTAATTCAGGGTCGCCACCAACTCAAAATTTTGATAGGGGCCGAATAATCACTATACTCGGCACAAAGTTATTCTGGGTCTGCTTGGTCACCCGATCAAAATCAGCTTCTGGTCAGAATCTCCTATCCGACTTTATACTCGCCTGAGAGTATGGCAAGGGTTGGCCGAGCCAAGTCATACCGAGCTAGCAAGCTGCCTAGAGGCTGTCTTTCGAACCTTGAGCCGAAGCGGACATAGAGAAGCTGATTTACGTGCTCCTCGGGTCCTAGGCGTCCCCAATGCAGGGTCGCACAAGCCTCTAAGTTTTGTTAGGGATTCAACACGACCCAGTTTCAACGAGAGCATAAGTGATTGATTTCTTCTAACCTTACTAATTGTTATTAGATCTGAAAATTGAAAACAAAAATATTACGTTCTATTTTCTCAGTCTTAGAAAATATTCTTATCGTCATTGGTACATATTTTATGTTTCATTTTGTTAATTATTTGTTGCCATTCTTGGTGAAGGTAACATGGATCTTCGAACCATAGATTATTTAGAGCCTCAAGATAGATAATACGTCAACGATGGTAATTATTGAGGACGTGACAGATGGAGCACCCGGAAGTGTCGGAGACTGCAGTGGTGGGCTGCCCTCACGCCCTCAAGGGCGAGACCATCTTCGCCTTCCTGGTACTGAAGGAGAACTCGGCCAGCCCCCAGCACAAGATCGAGACCGAGCTCCGGGAGAGCGTCAAACACAACATTGCCAGCTATGCAGTACCTGAGTTCATGCTCGTAAGCAATTATTGACGTAGCTTTTTAGCGCATTTTCTCATTTATGGAAAAAATGCACTATTGTACTCGCCATGTCCGTCCGTCCGTCCGTCCGTCCGTCCGTGACTTCACGTTTTCGTCGACGAGAAAATGCGCTCTCTGTCACTCACTGCATTGAGTACTGAGTTATATTTTTTCTTGTTTATCCTTGTTTTACGCACTATTCTGGGATGGCTCGCGAATACAAGAAATTTTCTCACACATCTTGGAAATGTGTGAGAAAAAAAACATATTTTTTCACATGGATATTGGGCATGGGAGTCCCTTTTGGTATTCTTAATGTACGCAAATTAGAGAAAGTTTAAGAAATTGTTTCCAATTTCTTAATTTCCAATTTCTTAATCTCCAATTACTGATGAAATTCAAATATTTGAAAATATTGATGTCAATCGAGGAATCTACATAATTATTTGAATATCTGTTACTAAACTTCCATCTATGATCAATCTGACTTTTTTCTTTGCGTTTATTGACCTTCCCTCTAAAAAAAATATTGTTATTATTTGTAGTTACTACGCAAACGATTTTTACTACTCTGATATTGACCATAATATGCAGCAATGCAATTCTGTTTCGAAGAACAATATTCTGAAGATTGTGGCTTTAGCCACAATCTTCCCCATAGTTTAATGCTTTCTTTAAGCTGCTTCTAGAGTCAAAAAAACATTTCTTTGATGCATTTATAGATTCATCGTTCTTCACATTTTTCAACGAAGCATTGTTCTCACGAGCTGGAAACAACCATACGCATTTCTGACGTTTATGTACTCAGGTCCAAATCAGATTGTCTATCGAACAGATTGCTCCTGCGCTGCCGAAGACGCGGTCCGGCAAGATCATGAGGAGACTCCTACGGCAGATCGCCAAGGGCAACCTCGAGGATCTCGGAGACACGTCCACCCTGGCCGACCCGGCGGCCGTTGAAACCGTCCTTAAACTTTACCGTCAGATGCCTGTGAAGCCGACCTCGTGATGTCCGTGCCTTCATTTTTAGAATCTTTTTAAGATCTGACATTTTTCATGCTTCAAACTATCCTTTTCCATCATGTATATGACGTAAACATGATATGCTGTTTTTAATATCGAACTTGTTCACGCTTGCTGCTCTAGACCCACTATATTGAAATTATAATTGTTATCTTATATTCCTACCCAATTCTTAACTCGTAAAAAAAAACGTGTATCGTTTAAACTTTAAAGCTCGTCGGTTTATGCCTGAATGTGTCTCAACTTATGTACTCGCTATAGTTTTAATTGAGAACTACCGGTGCATGAAATGTTTTTTTAGCGCATGTTTTTAGCGCATTTTCTCATTTATGGAAAAAAAATCGCTATTATTTAATTAATAATAATCGTACAGACTGACCAGTTTATATACCACAAGATCAGTGAAAGTAAATAACGACCCTCAAAAATTTATTTAATTTTGTGCCAGCATGTTCTATTATATGAGCTCAAGCTTGGCGACGGAAAGGATTGTAGCTTTCTGGGCTGCCCGTGGCAGTGGCACATTTTAGTGCAGTTGCTATCCCTATTTTTTAATGATCCCTTTCCAAATGTCTTTAAATGCGGCAAGATTCATTTGTAGGATGAGAATTGTTCTTCCCAGTATTTTACTCCTCCTGAAGGTATTAAGATTCGTCGCATTGCGTTCTTGAACACCTAAAATATCTTGTGATCAGGACCTACATATTATATTTCTGTTATTTCACTTTTAACCTGTATTATGTCTCTAGACAGCTAATATATTTTCTAGTATCATTATTTATACCTCAATATCCATCAATTCTACAAGTTTGTAATAATATAAATAATGATCGGTTCAGCTTCTAATAATGGAGAGCAAATTCACTTCCGAAATTGTATGATCAACTTAAACCTCTCTCATCAAATCGAGTATTGATGCAATGCGTCGAAATGGACAATAGTGGTTGATCCTGTGTCGCTCATCAATGTCAATAAAAATGTCTATTTTTTCACTAATCATCGTTCATGTTGCTTTTTTAAACTTCAAACAACTCTCTGTCCATATATACGTTTATTCTGCTAACTAGTTATGTACGTGACTATTCGCGCCCCGTTCTATCGTGTTAGTTATTGAACAATGAAATCCTTTTATTGCTTAATTTAACATCAGAGCGTCTGATACCTGAATAGACTGTTATTGATAATTTCTCGATTTGGATGAAATTGTTTCTATATAAAGCCGGCGACACGGTACTGTGAGGAAATAGGTTTCATCAATAGAACTCTTTTTATATGTACTTAAACAATGCATACATGACTTTCCATATTTTAAGTTGTGGGCCATGTTAAATAAATTATGTTAAAATAAATATTGCAATAGCAATATTTATTATTTGAAACGGGTTAAATTGAAGGCGAAATGTTTTTTTTTCCAACCCGTTTTTTTCTTATGCAAAAATTGTTTTTATTCCGGAGAAAGTGTTTTCCTACCCAGTAGTCAACGTCATGCAATCAGATCGCAAGTGTGCGGAAGCGCTGTCTGCGTAGTTAGTTTGCATCGATTCGATTAAAAGTTCTAACTACAATCGTTTATCCGCACTAATTGACACCAAAAATCACCATGCATTCAGTTGTATCCATTTTAGAACAAGTGTGCATGCTCAGGGTAAGAAATGCTATTCTGTTGAAACAAACTTAAATAACAAAATGGACCTCTCGTTTAGGTTCACATCACGTTTCGAACTTACTGTATTCATATGTCAGTGTACGTAAGTTGGCCGGTATTTAATTAAGTTTTGGTGTACATCTATTAATAAAAGAAATTAATAAAAACCGTCCAGTATTCACATTAGAATCATCAACTCGCAAGAATACGAAAAGTAGCATTTAACCAGCACTTTGAATTAGGTATTCCGTATTAGCACCGACACCGAGAAAGACTCCTGCACCTGCAGCAGTTTAGTTTCAATAATACGTACTAGCCTCTAGGTGAGCGTGTTTTAAAATATAAATAACGTAGCTTATGGTTTCAATAGAATTTATCCTCCTAAGTTACTATAATTGATGTTGATCATCTATCACTTGACGAAGTGTGCTTTGGTTTTGCGAAAACTTGAATGCAATACCAAACATAAACGTACCGTCAACAGCACAAAAGTCGCCACTCCGCAGAAACCGAACATACCTCGCTGTTCGTCACTAAAAATAGTATTAGATATACTCGTCATCGTCAGAATCATGATTTTAGGGTTCGTTAACCACATGATGACTACGAAGCTGTTTTGATGGTGCTGGAAAGATTGAGTTCAGCAGTTTTGTTTATAAATTAGGAGCTTTTTGTTATTGAAGGACGGCGACTTTAGTGTAAGGTTGCTGGATGCTGGCTAAGTTATCGGCATTCACACTTTACAGTAGCTGTTGGTGTTAGTTAGGACGTCTTTACAGGCTTCGGCTGAAGTTCGGCGAAATGTCAATTGACAATCCAATTTAAAGCACCTAATCATTTTTTGTTGTCATTCTTGAACTTTAATTCGAACAATAAGGATAATTTGATTTAAAATTGGATATTCATTGAATGTTTATACTTCTATGATATTGGTCATTCCCTTGGCCAAATATGTACTACAGTACTAGACAGTAGCCACTAGGACTAGAGCATTGAGATTTTGGCGACTGCTGTACAGACTACAGTATTAACAGATTTGGCCTTTTCTGTGATTTAATTAAGTCAATCTTGAACCCAAACCGATGAAAATTTCGAATCTGTGAACGTGAAATTTTCTTATGTTATAACTTGTAACCGCTATATTTTCTTTGGTGAACAACTTTGTTTCGTGACGTCATGTCTACCGTAGGTGGCATAATATTACTTAGTTCAGTCATTTTATACACTCGTATTGGGTGCACCCTCCGTGCAGGTCGAAGACGTTGAGATGGCTTATATGAGTTGGAAGCATCTTTGGTAGTTGCTGTGTTGGTGTCATGAATTCAAATATTCGTTTGACTTGATTTGTTCTTCATAATTTTTAATGTTATACAAGTTAATATTTCGGGAATGTTCGATGCATTCTGTAAGGTATGTCTAGGTGTATATGAACGATCGATTCGTTTTCAGTAACTTTGGTATTTGGAAATGAAAAAAAAAGAAAATCCTGGATGTGCGCATTCCATTACTCTAATAATAGATACATAGTTGCACCTTTCTTAATTAAACAGTCCGCTACCCGATATGTAGAGAAATTATCACAAAAAACGACTATGATGTCGGTGACGTTGGTTTTATGAAATGAAATTTATATACGGTTCCGGCTAATTCTGCCAAGTTAAGTTTAAAGATTATTGTAGTTCGCCTAGAACCTCGACTATATTTTTGCTGCTAATCTCAACTTGATGGCAGGCTGAAGTGCAGCGGGAGGAGCAACACGTACAGAGCCTGCAGCAACTCCTGGCTACCCTCCACTCGCCCGTCGTGCAGCACCGGCGCCCTCTGGTGAGACTAGCACTTGTGGCATGGTTGAACTAGTATAAGGTTGACACATGGTTGAACTAGTATAATGTTGACCCATCAGAAGCCCATTTTTGCGGATATAGTTCCTTGTTGGCCTGTGACGTCACTGATCTCTGTGACGTCATGGGCATTAACCAATCACCGAAGTGCGATCAAACCTGTTGACCAATCCGTCATGGGAATGACGGGTTTGTTTACGTTTCTCGATCTCAGTGACGTAACAAGAAAGCTGAACTGAAAGACGGAACTTCTCGTGGGTCAACCTTATATAGTTCAACCATGACTTGTGGCTTCGTCACAAACGAGAATTCAGTTGCCAGTAAACTTAAAATTTCCTGATGTACTTCAATATTTCGTCCGATATCCCATGTGTATCCATAAACCTTACTTCTATATGGGCTAAAAAGGAGAAGTAGGTTCAATATTGCGTCCGATATTCCATGTATATCCGTAAACGAATGAAGATATCTCCGATTTTTTCCTCTTCATCCACGTTATAACGCAGGCTATAGGGTACATATAGGTATTTAGAATGAAGATATCTCCGATTTAAAGGAGAAGTAGGTGCAATATTGCGTCCGATATCCCATGTGTATCCATGATCCTTACTGCTATAGGGCTCAAAAAAAGGAGATCCTAGTCTCATTTGTCGCCAGGGCTTGTGACCAACTATTGAACTTTTCTTGCACTCCTGAAAGTAGGAGGTTTAAGGCACATTAGTATAAAATTTTAGTTCTATGGATGACACTAATTCAACATGCTTGGCACTTTGGACTCTTGAATCATTTGAGAGACTGAAATATACCTAAGTGAACCCGGTCACTCTTCCTCGCGATTAAATTTGAAGTGGAAAGTTTTGTTTAGTTATTCGACCTAATTGTGAACAACCATTGTCATCCTACACATGATACTTGCTGCATTCAGGGAAATGAAAATTATTCATAAATGTGAAAAGACTGCACCGAATCGGACACTCAGCTAGCTTGTATAGACTGCTTACTACGTGGCAGACTTGGAAGTGCGTCTAAGCGTTACCTATGCAACTTCTTCACTCTTGATGCCACCTTTTGCTGAGCGGTTTACCTTTACTTTTAATATATTTTACCTTTACATTTAGCGGTAAACCTTTAGCGCTTTTTTAGCGGTAAACCTTGAGCGGTTTACCTTTAATAAGTTCATTAGAAAATGTATTGGAACATTTGAAATAATCTGTTTGCTAACAGTAACTCAAAGTAACAAACATATACTGTAGGTACAAAAAGAATAGATGTCAGTTCATGTATTGATCGACAAAGGTTAAATCTTCATTCTACGGACGGGAACGCTAGTTACCGCTGACCTTCAGACGAAGAACTTAGAGTTTAGACGATAGAATTGTGTTTGATGACAGAACATTGATGTATCTGTTGACAGAACATTGATGTATCTGTTGACAGAACATTGTTGTATCTGACTATCTGTTGACAGAACATTGATGTATCTGTTGACAGAACATTGCTGTATCTGTTGACAGAACATTGATGTATCTGTTGACAGAACATTGCTGTATCTGTTGACAGAACATTGATGTATCTGTTGACAGAACATTGATGTATCTGTTGACAGAACATTGATGTATCTGTTGACAGAACATTGATGTATCTGTTGACAGACTGTCTCTTATACACATCTAGATGTGTATAAGAGACAGTCCCAGCTCTGTGCGCCAGTTTCTGGTCAGAATCGGCAAGGAGGCCGGGCGGTTAAGCACAGCAGAATTGTAGCAGTGAGTTGCGAGTTCAAGCCCGCAAAATGCTGTGAATGTTCTGTGATGTTAAGAATCGGCGACAGGCCTACGGCCTACAAAACGCTGAAACCGCTATTATTACTTATTTATTGTTATTATATTATTATTATTATTGATGCAACCGGTTTCTTTTGCTAAGGTTCCTGCTCTTTATATATGAAGTTGCTAAACTTTTTCGAACTCTCGATGACTATAAGGAATTTGCAGCAAGTAAAAATTCCATTGAAAAGAATCTATTCAAAATTTGGCCAAGATCTTCTCACAGATAAGCAAATAATTTTCAGTGGTTACTAAATTAATTATAGAGTACATTGAAGATAGTGTATTTTTCACTTTATTCTTGCGCAGAGCGTGGCTAGGAAAGAAGCGGCCCGCCGTGAAGCAGAGCAGCAGCATCGGCTGCAGCTGCAGCAGTCTGTGCAGCAGCTGTCAGGCCTGCTGGACGAGGCGTCCAGCTCATCACTCATAATCGCCAGGTACATCCTTATTGTATAGCGGTTTCAGCGTTAGTAGGCCGTAGGCCTGTCGCCGATTCTTAACATCGCAGAACATTCACAGCTTGTTGAGGTCTCGAACTCGCAACTCACTGCTACAATTCTGCTGTTCTTAACCGCCCGGCCTCCTTGCCGATTCTGACCAGAAACTGGCGCACAGAGCTGGGATCGAACCCGCGCCAATCTTGGTACTCTGAACTGTAACCACTGGGCCACCCATGCCCATGGTGCCATGGCTATAAACTAAAAAACTGCGGTGCAACTCATCCATGTAGTATTATGTATTAAAGGGTATTAATACATAATACTGTATGCTGTAATAATACGTTATTCAGATAATCACTCTGTGCGAACACTAAAAATCTCCTTGCATTCCATCTGCTACATGTGCTCTTAATTGGATAATTCCGTACTCATCAATCCTTATCCTTATTGCCTCCTTCATGTCCTGACGTCATGGTGTGCAGCATACATTGCTGTGTGGGTAATGAGCTCAAATGGCAGCTTAACTTTTGAGCATTAAAGGATATCTATAATATTTATTTTCGTAAAAATCGCAATAGGATGCAAGTATGAGCCTTTCTAAGACATTGTTGGGATATAAAAATCAACATTCAACTACTACAGTTGGTGCAAAATTCTTGCATCTGAGCAAGCTCTTAGTGTACTACGACAAAATACTCCGTTAATTTCGTTTCGCTCACCGCCTAAGATTTTATCGCAAAGTAGAAGACCTGAAGTAAAGTGTAGGTACGCTGTTATTTCCCCAGGTCTTTGGATATCCTGAAGAGGACCTTGCAGGAGCTGACGCACGAGGTGACCGTCCTGAACTCCGCCCAACGGACGCTGCTGAGCCACCACGCCAACGCCACCCACCGCGCACACAGCGCCCTCGCCCACCTCGCCCAGGCTGTGAGGGCGCGGCGGTGTAGGGGCGTGGCGGTGTACCCCGCACAACCACATCCCCGCACTTGGTGTAGGGGCGTGTTGGTGTAGGGGCGTGGCGGTGTAGGGGCGTGGCGGGTGTTGGTGAGGGAGCGGGTGTCTGCGGTAATAAAACAGCAAATTTTCCATTGAGATCTGCTGGTAATCATCAACTCCATGCTTTTGTTGTTAGTAAATTTGTTCCGAATTCCAGTTCGAAAATTCAAATTAAAGTACGTATATATATAGTTAGATAATTAAGCGTCAGGGAATGTAAGAATGAAATGTCTTTCATGCAATGAACTAATCGACGAATATTTTTCGACCCTCATAAAGCCAAACTTTTTCATTTCCGTTTTGTAAACAGTTTACATTTCATTGTGAGATGGGACAGGTGACATTTTACGACGTTTCCAGACACTGCAGCAGAACATCACGCAGAGTTTGCAGGAGATGGCTGCTGCAAATCAGCGTCTGCGCTCACAACTCTTGCGTAACTGCGATCAACTTCCTACCAACCCCTCGGATGTGAGTATTTTACCAACTACTTACTGAACATCTTCAATATTGCCTCTTCTCTTCCATAGCTCATTTGTACCGTCAGTTTTAATTGGGTGAAGATCAAGTTTTTACAACCAGGCGGAAATTAATAGCAAAAACTGAATGAAATTGTTATTTATATTTCCACCTAATATTTTTTATCAAACCTCAACTACGGAACTTATAAATACTTCCAACAAATAATCGAATATTTTTACCTTTTGGAAACGCGATACTTTTTCTGGCCCATACATAATTACATGCTGAGTAACGGCAGAGGTACGACGTCGAAGCGTCGTATAGGGAGTGGTAAAATAACTAAAGTAGTCATTATTATATATTAATTATCAATGAGCCTGTAATATATTAGTGTTGTACACGCTGTGCAGTTGCCAGACGCAGAGCGTGTCACGGTAGACGTGGTCGACGCGGTGGGCGCCGTGGGTGACGCGGCAGCTGCTGCAGAGGAAGCCCTAACTCTCATGCGCCGAGCAGCCCGTGGCCAGACCAGCCTCAAGCACAAGGAGGCCCATGAAGCGCTCGTGCTTTGTCAACCAAACCCTTCGATGTGAATTCTATGACAATATTCTAAGCTACCGGGAGTTCAACATACAAGATAATGAGTATATTTTCTAAGGACGTAATTTTTATTGCGTAAAACCCATCGGCAAATAGATGTCCCATCTATTTGCCATCAAACCCATCGGCAAATAGGGTTTGGTTCACAGCAATTTGTGAACCAAACCCTTAAATGTGAATTCTACGACAAAATTCTAACCGGGAATTCAACAGACAGGATAACACGAGTATATTTTTAAAAGAAATCATTTTTATTGCGTAAAACACATCGGCAAATACATGAAAGTATTAGTAAATTAACTTCTCTTTCCTTGAAGTGGAATATGTCAAACTTCAGTCAGTAGGAGTAACAACTTATGATTTTTTCGGACAGGCGTTGGAAAGCAATCTGCATTCCATGTACAATTGGTCTGTAGACTAAGTTTTAACCTAAACATTTGAGACGCTCCTACTGCTTCAATGTTTTCTCTTTCGTTACTTTACCTCGATTGATGTCAAAAACTCTCAGCCACCAGGTAAGACACTCACTGAGGATAAAATATCAACTTACTTTGAATGATAAAGGATTTTATTACCAGAAAAAGCTTCTGTGTAACCACAAACGAACGTACTTCTAGCAAAGTCTAAAATAAATTATTGATGATACATGGCGTTTTGTTCAGAATTGTTACATAAACCAAGCGGCATTCATTTTTCAGATGCGTATCAATATAATTGATAAATAAATTCATATTTACATAGAAGCTAAATAGTTTAGGACTACATGCAGAGTTCTCTCGGGGGCGGAACGCAGGGAACATACGAGAATTTATCACTGCAAAATTGTTCACGGTCGCTCTCTTGGAGTTGATTGATTTGAGAGTAGCGTTCGTCATCTGGGGATGCTGCGGCTGACGTCGAGGAATGTGTAGAAGAGACAGGAAACGATGCAGTCTGAGAACCAACAACACTTCCATTTCCATCAGCGGCTGCAGTAGCCGACATTGAACCTCCAAATACAGAGCCTTGCTGAACTGCAGTCGTATTGGAATTTCCGAAAATGGAAGACGTGGAAGAAAATGTGGCGCTACCAAAGACAGATTGAGTGGTGCTTGGGGCGGAAGAAAATTGTGTACTTCCCGCGGACGATGCGCCGCCAAACAAAGAAAATGTTTGACTTTGTAATGACGGATCGACAGATGAAAAAATACTCTTACTCCCACCTTGGAGCGAGGTAGACCCAGATCCTCCGAAAACATTAGATGTAGCACCAGTGGAAGCCTGGCCGAAAACAGCGGACGGAGCGTTCGCAATTCCTTCATTTGAATTCTGGTCGGTGTTTGAGGATCCAAAAATATTTGATGATGCTGCAGGATTACCAAAAGGAGATGCAGTTACGGCAGACGCTGGTGCACCAAAAAGAGAACTTCCTGCATTAGAAGAAGGGGCAGAGAATACTGAACCTCCTGATGCAGAGGGTTGTGTCCCAAACACTGAATTGGACGCGTTGTCACCACCAAAAACACTGCTCTTTGCACCGATCACGCTGCCAAAAAGTGAATTCGAGTTAGTGTTTGTGGAGGTACCCCCAAATAGCGAACTGCCTGCAGTACTTGAATGAGGCATGGCATTGGAGTCAAAGATGGACGTCCCGCTCGGTGCACCAAATAGACTGGGCTTAACAGCATCAGACATGCCAAAGGCAGAACTTCCGCTGGATCCAAAAATAGACGTGGTTTGCTGCGGTGCACCGAATAGACCAGCCCCAGCTGATGAACCCAGGCTGCCAAAAGCTGAGCTTGAACCAAAAGTATTTGTAGTTTGAGGTTTACTAAAAAGAGACATTCCAGGCCTGTCAATGGCAGATGAACTAGACCCAAAAAGACTGTTAGAGTTAGAGGTTGTTGAAGCTGCACCGAATGTACTCGACGTCGCCCCAAACACAGAGCCTTGTGGCTTTCCAAATAGGCTTGTGGTGGAACTGGAGTTGCTCATTGAACCAGCAGCTGCGTCAACCTTGTGTGCCTTGTTGAACAATTCTCGCTGGAAAAGATAGAAGATACATTCATTGATAAACATGGATGTATGACACACAATTGTGGTTCCTATAATTTACGTACCTACTCAGTTATTATACACAATATCTCACAATTAATAGGTTTAAATTAATCTCAAGTTGAAACAAGATGAGACTTTTCACTACGAAATAAAGCATAATTACCAGCACTTGAACGGCTTCTGCAGTACCACTTCGGAAGGCATCTCTCAGCTGTTTGTGTCGTGCCATCTTTTCAGATAACATTTTTTGCTGAAAGATATTGTTTTATGAAAGTAAATAGATATATATCTGCTTATTTTATGTTGGATTTCATACTAAGAATGGTTTACAATTTGCTGACAGGCTCCAGATTTTGATTTGGGTAAGAGCACTATGTTTAAAATCGAACATGCATCTTTCTCCTTGATTTCTTAAATTGTTGAAAATATTGTTCTGGTTTTGTTAATATTTCATATAACTATCAATAAGAGTTAGTTTGTTTGCGTGTCTGGAGCCTGGCGCCACAATTTACAGATATTGTCTGGGCATGCGAGCGCAATAATCTTTGTGTTGAGATATTACCCGGAAGTGAACACTAATAATAAGTAAGAGGATAGTCTCGCAGTAAGAGGATAGTCTCGCAGTAAGAGAATAGTCTCGCAGTAAGAGGATAGTCTCGCAGCAAGAGGATAGTCTCGCAGTAAGAGAATAGTCTCGCAGTAAGAGAATAGTCTCGCAGTAAGAGACAGTAAGAGGATAGTCTCACAGTAAGAGAATAGTCTCGCAGTAAGAGGATAGTCTCACAGCAAGAGGATAGTCTCGCAGTAAGAGGATAGTCTCGGATGGTGGCAGAATGCAGGATGACGAGATTCGGTAGGGTGGTACTTGGGAAGCTGGAATTCAAGGTGGAGGTATTGGAGATGGTGAGATTCGCGATGAATTATAAAAAAAAAATAAAAAAAATTATTAAACCCTTCAGCAATCAATTTTCTTTCAATTCAAAAATACCACATTGCATGAATAGCACATTGCTGAAAATTGTTCCTTGAAAAATAATTGATAGCTGACATTCGAGCCACCTGATTCATCCAACTGGACAAATGATCTTTATACATAACATAAACATATACAGTTTTGACAGGTAACATAAATATTAAACTCAATGCTAAAGGGTCAATGAGGTCGAGATTTTAGAACAGCATGGATTATTTATCTATTCAGGGCAATGCGGTTTTGGACTAATCTGGAAAATGTTGGCTCATGAATCAGCTCGTGTTTGGGCAGGTTTCTAAAATTGCAGGAGGTGTAGAGCATGCAAGAACCGGGCTAACCAGCTACATTAAAATATTAAAATTATGATAAAAAAATGAGCATAGAATGAAGTGAAACATTATGCTGTGCATTCTCATATTATTAGTACTGAGACATGTTAGGACATATTATTCATCAACACTGCCAGTTCAAAAGAAAACGAATAAGTGTGGACAATTTGCAATAGTTTTCAGTTATATCATATAATCAGATATTTTAAGCCTAAAGTTTTATACCATATTAGCTTCTAAAATAATTAGCAAAAGCGTCTTGAAGCATTCAAGTGGGTATACATTCAAAACCACAGTGATAAATTTTGAGTTGCATGTGTAATACGGTCTTCAAACCTGGTAACAAGATCACAAGGTATAACATAATGCAATGCCAGCCAATCTATGATAAAGAGACGGTTATATTTGCTCTGTTAATAAACATATTTGGCTCCTTACACTTGAATCAACACAAGTAATCATTGTGACAAGACCTCAGTTTGGCCATGAAAAGCAACTTTTCCTAGCAGGCAGAATGCTTGCCTTATTCCCTAAGTATATTCAACTCAATGAAAAAATCAATACAAGACTATTGGAGATATTAAATTAGTAATAGGTTTAATATATCAAAAAATAATGGTGAGACAAGACCAAATCTTCTAATCCATTGCTACTTCTACTAATCTTCTAATCCATTTCATTATACGTGTGAACAGAAACCTCTAAAAACTGACACATTTTAAGACATGCTCATGTAAAGCCTCTCTATGCATTAACAAAACAAAGAGTAGAGAACTGCTCATTGCAATAGAACTCACATATTCCTGCATGGCAGCAGGATCAGTCTTGGCAGCATAAGCAGCAACTCTGAGCTCTTCACAGGACGTGTCTTCAAAACCAGGGATGAGAGGAAAGTCTTTGATGGGACACAGCACCGACAGCTGCCACAGACCAGCCCCTTCCCATGTGCTCATCTCGCCTGCCACTTGCTTGCTGAGGAAAACCTTAAATCAACAGCTTTGCTACAGCTACATGCAATATAGGTATATATAATATATATATATATATATGAAAATTGTTAAATAATATATATATATATAATGCTCATTAAATATATAATAGATGAAACTGAGATCTTCTCATTTATTATTTGATAGATCACAACATGAATTATAATCAGTCAAATAAATTACTTGAGTCTTATGCAGGCAAATTACCATACATGGCTACATGGTCTCACACATTATTCAAGGTAACTTAAAAAATGAAGGTTAAATAAAAATGAATTAAATTTAAGTTAGATAGTTACCCTTTACATTTGCATAATTTAATTTTAACAATATAGAATAATTTAGCAATGTGACTGCATTTAATGAATTATTTAACTGTGCTATACGTACTTTTCCAATGTGCAAATTTGTGAAAAATTTAAATGGGCAAATATAATTCATAATTTTTCATATATTCTGATACTAGTTCAAGAAATTGTCATCTCTGCATATATTTATCCTGACCCGCAAAAGGTTTAAGATGGCACTGAACTTAAAAGAAACTAATGTTTCATTCTTTATTCCTTATATTTTGCTTTTATAATCTATTGAGGAGATAATATATACCTACATTCTTAAAAATTTCTCTATTAATTATCTTCTTCAGCATTATTGCACAAAAATCATATTTATGAGTGGATGTCTGGTCTGATCAGAGGTAAAGCCTTGGCCCTTCAGCCAAATACTAGGATGATATACCGGTACCTGAAAATATTCATGGCATTTTCATGCAATTGGGGAGATATTACCTATAACCTACCTGTCCTACCACACATTCAGGCTTGCACGAGCGCATTTTATAGGTGCGGTCAGTAATTCTGTAGGTTATACCATTAAAAGATAGATTAAATTATATCAAAGAAGTAACTTGCTATAATAAGAACTATATATTACTCATAAAGGATAAAATTCAAAATGAGCCACTTCAATTGAAATTGATCTCCTTTACTAAAGGAAAAGAAATTCAGCTCAGAATGCAGGTACTCACACAAACTCAGTGAACTTTTCATTAGAAGCTGCATTGCTGGACATTCCAGAGGCTGTTGTACCTGTCAATATATGAGAAACATTGAATCAAATAGCTTCAACCTAATTAGTTGAACCAAAAATTAGGTAGAAATTTCCTACTTAATTCTAAAATCTTGATATTTTCAATAGCTTTAGAAGTTTGGAATGTGATGGCTCAAAACTGGCACTATGATTGCAGTTAGCAGCTCAGAATGTTATGATTGCAGTTAGCACTATGATTGCATTTAGCAGCTCAGCTCAGCTATATTTGTATATCTTCCAAGCCTGCTTCATCCTAATTTGTATTAGCATCTATTTACAGTATGATTATTGAGAAATTTAATACGAGTAGATCTGCACTCTGCACTTATTAACAGTAGCAGCCAAGTGATCCAAACAGCAATCTTCAACAGCCTACTTGCCATGATCAGGAAGATGTGCCAGGTGCGCGGGAATTTATTTTGTCATTTTAACGACCTGCGCGGTGCGCCGTACTACGTTGGTAAAAAAATGCGCCGTGCGCGGTACTTTAGAAAGCTAAAATAGTTCTACTATTTTAGTCGACAATATACGCAAGTATATTGACTACGCGAGTCGAACTGACAATAATAAAATGTAAGACATGTCCGGGTTACTTCTGACTCTTCCGGTTGTCCGCCTTGTCGGACACGTTTTCTAGCATGGTAATCACCAAGATCACTGTCCGAGCATGGTGAAGATTTGAAGACCAATGTACGTTGACGCAAATTGCGGGGTTGTGATGAATCACTGGATCCACTTGCAGATGATGTATGTCGATGATGCACAGGGACAGATTTGCTTTGCTTGTTATTCTTTCTTGTACACCTAAGAGGAGATCCCTTCTTTGCTCCATGGGTGGCATAATGAGACCTGTATTTACTTGAACTTGGTGAGGTCTCTAGTTCCGAGTTATCTTGAGGCTCTGAGTAATGGTCAACTCTTCTGCTTCTAGAGGATTGCCTTGAATGTACACGTTTTTTCTCACGTGCATTCGAAGTCGTGACAAGCTTTTTGTTGGCCTCTTCAGAGGATGACTGTGATTCACCACTGGGAGGACTAGACGTTGGCCTGGCTCGTCTCGGTAAGTCAAATATGGTCTTCAATTTGGGTTTGGCACCAGTGATTGCTGGATCATTAAGTTCATTCACTTGATCCCCCTGTGTCAGCACTGGCTTGATTGTTAGAGAAGCCAAGGTCTTCTGAAGCTTGTTTATGCACCTCTGTGAAGTGGGTGAAAGATCCTGAAGATGCGCATGAAAGTTTTCCATTACAGTTGCAATGTATTGGCAAGTATCCTGGATGTCATCATCCGAGTTGCATCCTGTAGCTCTCTTCACCATGGTAGGCATGGCCGAAGCACCTTCCAGCTGGGTAGAAGAAACATCTTCACCACCCTTGTCAGTCATTTTAGGAAATTGAAAAGACAGTTACTTTATTAGAAGGCACAATACAGAATTTATCCCTAAGTAGACATAGGCTCTATTCTCACAAGACTATCAATAATAACTATGACTATCAATAATTAATAGGTATCAACATGAAATACTAATAGTGAGGGAAACTGGCTATTCTTGAAAACTCGGCTCCCAAAGCTATTCCAGGTAAATTGCCCCTAGGGTCCCATTGTGGCAATTGAACTACCGGGTCTGGGGAGGTAATTGAGCTCCCGGGTCTGGGGAGGTAATTGAGCTCCCGGGTCTGGGGAGGTAATTGAGCTCCCGGGTCTGGGCACCAAATTATGTTGCGGTCCGGTCAACAGGGGTTCACAAAAGCTATGTGAAGATTAGCTCAATCACCCTAAGCTACAATACCTAGCTAAGCCTACCTCCAACCTGGAGAGCAAATTTGGGACAATGAAACAGGTCATTCCCAAACAACACTATACTTAAGCTAAGAACACAGTCAAGGGCCATTAGTACAAGATAATCCCGAGGGCACCAAATATCCTTCACAGGATAAGCTAGGCAACCACCCTCCAGAGGAAAATCCCGGAGAGGTGACTGCAGTATTACGTTCAAGAGCCGAATTGTACAAAATGGTCCAACTTTGCGGTAAACAATAATTTTGAACAGAACATCCTAACCTGTGACACAAGGGAATCAAAATTACAGTACGATACGCAATAGCCTAGATGCCTTGGTTGGCACGGAGACAAATAAAGGTCCTGGAAAGGAGAGCACAATAAGAAATGGTGGTGATTCCTCAACTGTAGACTAGCACAGTAAGAGCACTCTTTACCTGGTCCATGGATCACCCTGATGTATAGCACTAATGCGGTGTAGTTACATCACTCTCATAGACACCACAGGCACACCCAAGCACTCCCCCTCACAACAACATCCCAGGTACTCACCGGTCTGGTAGAAGGGTTCCACAGAAGGTTACTGCTGTCTCTTATACACATCTAGATGTGTATAAGAGACAGATGCTACACTTTAAACATGAGGATAAGGCAGAAGCACTTGAACTTGTCAGACATTGCATAAAGTTGCATGCTCTAACTAGTGAATTATTGATGGAGAACAACAACACCTGAAACAAATACAAGGGAAGGAAACATTCATTAATAATAACAGTCACAAAAGCCCTAAATTAAATGGAAAGAGCAAACCATATTAGGAAGCATAACCTAAAGTAAGAAATACACCAAAGTGCCAGGAATGAAGAGTAAGAACCTAATAATCTAAGATTAAGCAAGAGGAGCAATATGCTCCTCTTCACACCTCCCCTACAAGTGCTGACCAACGGGAGCACGAACAACCAACAGCTGAGTTTCAACTGAACAAATAGCACACAAACCCACATATATTGACCAATACAAATACTCAAACACTTAATAATAAAACTAGATCATAAATTTGTTCCTTGTCTTGATGGATTTTCTTGACCTACTATACAGATGAATCATCAAGAGTACCTTGGGAAGAATCCGTGCAGGGACTTGAGGTTGGTAAATTTCTAAGGGAAGGTCGGTGAAGATCATGGTCAAGAGCACGTCTCCTCCTCCTGTATTCTCCAATGATATCCTTGGCTTCTTCTAATGATCTTCGCACTGGGCTCAAGCTTATTCTTCGGGGTGGCCTTCGAAGTCTCAACAGAGGTACATTTGGTGGAGTTCCCGCAAATCCACTGAATTCGGCTAAGGAATCCACATGCAATTGCTCAGGTTGGGGAGAAGGATGCAGTGTCATTTCCCCATGTACCTCAGTTTGCACCTCAGGAGTCACAACTGCAACTCCCACTTCCTGAGGACTTGATATGGGGATGACTCTCTCTTCATGTGCAGGAGGGGCCTCTTCAGGAGAGGTCACCAAGAGCAGCTGATTGTCAGAAACAACAATTTCAGCTGCAGTCTTTACAGGTGAAGCAATTTCCAGAGAGTCCACTGAATACTTAGTGGACTGAAGTGGTTCTAACAAACTGTTGTTGTGCTCCTCAACCCACTGAAGGGTCTCAGTTACCACTTCCAATACTGATTCAAGAACAGAATTCACAGATAGTATCTGGCACTCATTCAGGAAAGTCTTTGACTTGCTTGATATTCTACTTAATCGAGATTCACCTAAACTAGGTATTTCTAGCGCATGGGTTCTTTCATCAACAGGAGTCGAGTGGCTGGGCCCCCCAACATGGGCTATGGTCTCAGGCTTGACCTGTGGTGTGCTTTGCTGACTTTCAGCGCAGCTGAGATCTTCTGAAGGCTGTGAGACTGATTCACTACCAGACAAGGTAGGAGATGAACACCTAACTTCAGTTTGGGATGTCCTAGCCACTCATTTACTCAAGGATCCTTCCAACAAAGGTGATGCAAAGCCAGAGAAATCCACATCTGAACTTGACTGGGATGATGAAGAGGACAATGGCAGAAGGATGCTTCTCAATTTAACGTCTTCATCAGTGCTAGAATCTTTGGGAATGTCAAGTTTGCCCTGCCGTGCTACAAGTTCTTTAAAGCTAGCATGGTCCAGTAGATATTGAGGAACTGCCACCCAGGGTTTTAGCTGAGAATGGTGGACCTTGCACTGCTTTGGCATAGGAAGATCAATTGTTTGTATTACATACGTTACTCCATTTTGATTAACTTGAGAGATCTTGTAAGGGCCTTCATATCGAGGCTTGAATTTGTTGACAGTTGAATGGCCCATCAACTGGACTTTCTTAAGCACAAGCTCTCCAACATTAAAGGGAGAAAATGAAGGATGTCCTACTTTCCACTTGTCTTGCATTTCCTTGGGAAGAAGAGGAGTCCCCTTCAAGATGTGAGCATCTTTTATTAGGTAATCAGAAGGAGACGTGCCAATTTTGGAATGCCAAGCATTGTTGTATGAGATCACTGCTTTAGGCAGATGATCTACCCAGTGAGAAGGGTTTTCATGGCTGAGGCACCTCAACATCTCAGAAACTGTTCGGTTAGCTCGTTCTACAAGCCCATTTGATGAGGGTTTATATGGGGTGGAAAACGCATGCTAGATATCATACTTATCAAGTACAGATTCAAAGCAAGGAGAGGTGAATTCTCTTCCATTGTCAGTTAGCAGACGTTTTGGTATCATTGGAAAATTTACAAGAACTTGATGCTCCAACAGAAAGGCTAGATGGTCAGGTTTTTTATTCCGGATGGGGACTGCCGCCATCCACTTAGAACCATGATCGACACAAACCAGGCAGCCAATGTGGCCAGAACGAGAGGGTGGTAATTGGATCAAATCAGCGGCTACCAACTCAAATGGCTTAGGAGCCACTATTTTCAGCATGGGTGGCTGTACTAGCTGTGTACCAATCTTGAACTTCTGGCACAACTCACAGGAGTAACAGACATCTTGAGCAACCTTGGTCAATGAGGGATGCCACAAGACAGACTGGAGCATCTTGATCAGCTTATTTCGTCCAGGATGTGCACGTTTATAGTGCATAGCCAAACCTATCTCAACCAGAAAGTGGAAAGGAACAACTAGCTTGAAATCCGAGGAGGTTTTGTACCACAGCAGGTTGTCTAAGGTGCACAAAAANAGCTAAGAACAAAGCCAAGAGCTATTGGT